GGAGGCAGAGGTTGCAGTGAGCCCAGATCGTACCACTGCACTTCAGCCTGGGCGACAAGACCGAAACTCCATCTCAAAAAAAACAAAAAAAGATTATAGCATCTTTATTCATAATTGCCCCAAATTATAAACTGCCTAAATGTAGACCTTCATTTAGTTAACGAATACACAAACTGTGGTATATCCAAACAATTGAATAATAAAAGGGATGAACTGGTACTTTTTTCTATTCCTCCTCTTAAGTACAGCCAAAACACCTCAACATTTGTATAAAACATAAGCTGGGCCAGGCGCGGTGGCTCACACGTGTAATCCCAGCACTTTGGGAGGCTGAGGTGGGCAGATCACCTGAGGTCGGGAGTTCAAGACCAGCCTGACCAACGTGCAGAAACCCTGTCTCTACTAAAAATACAAAATTAGTTGGGCATGGTGGCGCATGCCTGTAATCCCAGCTACTTGGGAGGCTGAGGCAGGAGAATTGCTCGATCCTGGGAAGCAGAGGTCGCGCTGAGCTGAGATCGCACCATTGCACTCTAGCCTGGGCAACAAGAGCAAAACTGCGTCTCAAAAAGAAAAAAAAAAACGAGCTGAATCTCAAAGGCAGAGAGAAGACAGACCTTGGAACCAGAGGAGCAGCGTGGTGGGGAGTGGCCTGGATTTTCTTTTTGCCTCATTTATCCTGGACTTGGTGCTGGAGAAGCTGTGGGCTCAGACCAAGAGAAAACCCCATAAAAAGCCTGCTCTCTTTAGCCAAAAGAGGCAGCCTAGCAAGACAAAAACTTTTAGATAATAAGCACTTGACTACAGTCAAACACCACAGAATAAACTAGCCCCAAACCCTGTCAGCAAAGGCCGAGTGGGAGTCAAGATATGTACCCCAACCTGGAAGTCATAAGGTACACTTCTCCCCTTTCCCAGCCAACATGGTGTCAGAGAAGGCTGCCTGGGAAGCTGGGGTTTTCCTTCCCTCCAGGAGGTGATAACACTCGTTTCCCACGGTGTCAGTGGTCACAGGGAGCCTGAAAGTCCACCTAATAATACATAGGCATCTCTCTGGCTCCTATGGGGGTAATGTCAGAGAAGAGGCCTAGTAGAGAATCCAGACTGTTGCTGGCATCCAGCAGTAACAAGGACACCTCCACAATGTCCGTGGAGGCCACGTGGGGATCAGTAACAAGGCATTCCTCTCCCTCCCAGTCAGAGAGATGTCAGTGGAAGACTAGGGGACTAGAACTCCCGTGTGCATTCAGCAGTAATGCCCATGACCACCACTCCGTGTTATCACAGGCCTTGAAGAAGCCTGAACTTTCACTCCCCTCTGGTTGTAGTGAGGTGGCACTCCCTTTTTCCTGCTGCCAGTGCTGTGTCAGAGGAGGCTTGCCAAATTGGAAGATGTAAATAAGATTCACATTCTCATAACGTAATACCCCAAATTTTCAAGATTCAATTGAAAATCACCAAGCCGGGCACGGTGGCTCACACCTATAATCCCAGCACTTTGGGAGGCCGAGGTGGGCCGAACACTTAAGGTCAGGAGTTCAAGACCAGATTGGCCAACATGGTGAAACCCCATCTCTACTAAAAATACAAAAATTAGCCAGGCATGGTGGCGCACGCCTGTAATCTCAGCTACTGGGGAGGCGGAGGCAGGAGAATCACTGAAACCTGGGAGACAGAGGCTGCAGTGAGCCAAGATTGCGCCACTGCACTCCAGCCTGGGCAACAGAACAAGACTCCATCTAAATTTATGTCATGGAGTCCCAGAAGGAGAGGAGAAAGAGGGTGGGGCTGAAAAAATATTGGAGGAAGAAGTCATGGCTGAAAAATTCCCAAATTTGGCAAAAGTCAGAAACCTATGGATTGAAAAAGCTGAATGAAGTTCAAATATGATAAACTCAAAGAAATTCACAGAGACATATCATAGTCAGATTTCTGAACACTGCAGACAAAAAATGAAGATCTTGAAATTAGCAAGAAACAACCTTACCTACAGCAATTTGAATGACAGCAGATTTCCCATCAGAGATCATAAAGGCCAGAAGGAAGGGATACATACAACAATTTTTCTAGTGCTGAAAGAAAAAATCTCTAGGCTGGGCACGGTGGTTCACACCTGTAATCCCAGCACTTTTGGAGGCTGAAGTGAGAGGATCACCTGAAGTCAGAAGTTCGAGACCAGCCTGGCCAACATGGGGAAACCCTGTCTTTACTAAAAATACAAAATTTAGCTGGGTGTGGTGGCACACGCCTATAATCCTAGCTACTTGGGAGGCCGAGGCAGGGGAATTGCTTGAACCTGGGAGGCAAAGGTTGCAGTGAGCCAAGGTTGGGCCACTGCACTCCAGCCTGGGCAGTTGAGTGAGACTCCGTCTCAAAAAAAAAAAAAAAAAAAAAAAAAATTTAGCCGGGCTTGTTGGTGGGCACCTGTAGTCCCAGCTACTCAGGAGGCTGAGGCAAGAGAATTGCTTGAACTCGGGAAGTGGAGGTTGCAGCGAGCCAAGCTTGTGCCACTGTACTCCAGCCTGAGTGACAGAGCGAGACCTCGTCTAAAAAAACAAAAACAAGAAAACAACTCTAAACCCAGAGTTACACATCCAGAGAAATATCCTTCAGGAGTGAAGGGAAAATTAACAATTTTTCTTCAGCAGACCTACCCTAAAAGAATGGCTAAAGGAATTTCTCTAAACCGAAAAGAAATGATAAAAGAAGTAATTTTGGAACATCAGGAAGGAAGAAAGAACAATAAAAAGAGTAAAATATGGGTAAACACAATAGACTTTACCCTCCTTTTGAATTTTCTAAATTGATGGTTGAAGCAAGAATTATAGCACTGATTTGTTTTCCAGTATATATACTGGAAATATTTAAGGCAATTATGTTACAAATGAAGGAGGGTCAAAGTATATAAAGGGAGGTAACCTTTCTATATTTCTTTTGAATTGATGCAGGCACTTTGGAAAGTAATTTCACTATTTGTTTAAAAACGTAACATACCCTGACCATATGACATAGCATCTATACTCCTGGGCATTTGTCCCAGAAAAACAGAAATTTATTTATTTAATTTTTTAATTTTTTTTTCAGTATTACACTCCGTAAGTGCTGTAATTAGCACTTAGAGAGGCCAAGGCAGGCAGATTGCTTGAGCCCAGGAGTTCAAGACCAGCCTGGGCAATGCTGCACAATCAAAAAAGAAAAACAGACATTTAGAAAACTATTTTAAATGTCTTTAATTGCTGAATGCCTCTTTGGCTAATATTTGTAAGATCCTTCTTCTCCTCCTCCTCCTCCTCCTCCTCCTTCTCCTCCTCTTCC